CGAAGGCCGTCTCTGCCAGCTCACCATTGAGGAAGGTCGATTTTATGTCTAGGTGATGGACACGTAAGTCCTTTGCTGCTGCCAAAGCCAGTAGCAGTCGGACAGACTCCATGCGCGCTTCCGGCGCAAAGACTTCCTCGAAGTCGATGCCCTCGCTAGACAAAGCCTCGAGCGACGTGGCACGCCTTGTGCTTGACAATGGGGCCGTGCTCATCCTGCTTGACCTTGTACACCCACTTCAGGTCGATCGGACGACATCCTGGAGGTTGATCGACGAGCTCCCAAGTCTTATTTTCCTCGACCGCCTTCATCTCCTCCAGCATCGCCCGTCGCTAGTTTGCATCGCGCTCGGCCAACGCGAACGTGGGTGGTTCCTCTGCACTGATGAGAAGCAACTCTGGGTCATTAAACAGCTGACCCGCTAGGCCCAAGGGCCCTGTGCCACCGACAATGTCGTCCAGCTTGCGGAACGGCACCTCCTCACCGTCGTAGAAGGCATCCATGAACTCAGTAATGTCACTTGGAGGTGAGATGAACTCGATCGACATCGATGAAGTTCCCTATTCTACCGGAGTGGTCTGCACGGCACTTGGAGTGCTCGGCACCTCGCTGCAGTGCTCGGCATTACTCCTGGACCGCTCGTTACCACTCCTGGAGTGTTTGGCACCACTGCATGAGTGCTCAGCCCCAGTCTTGGAGTGGTCGGCACCACTGCAAGACTTCTTGGCTCTGCTACGGGAGTGTTCGGCACCTGTCCTAGAGTGGTTGACACCACTGTAGGACCGCTTGGCACTACTCTTGGAGTGCTCGACACCACTCCCGGAGTGCTCGGCCCTGCCCCAGGACTGCTTGGATCCATTGCTGTAGTGGTCGGCACCTCCTCTCTAGTGTCTCCACCACCATGGATGACCAAGTACTCGACGACGAAGGTGCTGGTGAAGCTGCCAACTTCCCCCGTGCCCGGACTATTCTAGTCTTAGGCCGCCTTCTCGTCGAACACGACGTCGCGCGAGACAAGCACCTTGCCTCTGCGTAGGTCGTAGAGCCGATACACCTTGGTACCTTCCACGTAGCCCAGGAGCACCATCAGTGTGCTCCTGTCCTCCAGCTTTGTGAGGACCGGCTTCGTCTTCCTGATATGTCCGATGCAGCCGAATGTCCAGAGGAAGGACACGCTTGGCTTATGCCCATACCAACCTTCGAACGACGTCTTGCCCTTCAGGGCTTTGGTGGGCGCGCGGTTGAGAATGAACACCGCCGTGGTCATCGCCTCATCCTAGAACCTTGCCGGCATGCCATTGGCCTTCATCATGGATCGAGCCATGCCGACCACCGTTTGGTTCCGCCGATCCACCATGCCATTCTGCTGTGGCGAGTACGGCGCGGTGTGGTGTTGCATCACACCCTGATCTACGTAGTACGTAGCGAACTCCACCGAAGTGAATTCACCACCGCGATCAGTCCTTAGCACGCGTAGCTTCTTGCTGCTTTCCGCCTCCGCGCGCGCTTTGAACTTTTTGATCGCCTCCACCGCTTTGTCCTTGCTCGTCAGGAGTTGCAGCCACATATAGCGACTGCAATCATCCACGAGCAGGAGGAAGTACCGCCTACCACCGTTTTATGACTGGCGTGATTGGCCCGCAGAGATTGCTGTGGACGAGCTCGAGAGCGTCCACCGCGTGATACTTGGCCATCTTTGGGAATGGCAGCCTCCTCTGCTTCTCGTGGCCAAGCAGCTGTCACATAGCTTGCCTCCATGCTTGATGTGGGGCAGCCCTTGGACCATCTTCTCTAGCCGACCAAGCGCGTCGAAGTTGAGATGGCCGAACCAGGCATGCCACAGCCATGGCTCCTCGGTGCGCCATGCTGCCAGGCACACCGACTGCTCCACCTTCAAGTCAAGCAGGTACAGCCGGTTTCGGGACCTCTTCACCTTGGCAAGAGGCCACTCCTCCCGGTCCCTGATCCTGAGGACACCGTCCTTAATCAGTACCTCGCTACCACGCTCATCCAACTGGCCAATGCTGATGATGCTTGAACACAGCTGCGGGATGTAGTACACATCTGTTAGCGCGCGGTGCTCGCCGTTCTTGCACCTGAAGATGATGGTGCCGCGCCCTCGGATCGCCACCCTTGAGCCGTCACCGAACTTCACCATGCCGGTCAAGTTGTCGTCGAGCTCGAGAAAGCTTCCTTGGAGCCTATCATGTGATTGCTGGCACCAGAGTTTAGGTACCACCGCTGCTCCTGTCCGCCGCCCACACGTTCGAGGTGGACTTGGACGCTTGGTTCGTCGAGGTGGACAGTCTTGAGACTTCCCAGGCCCTTTCACCGCCATCCCCTCTCCCATCTCTTTGGCCTCAACGTCGTGCAGTGCACAGAACGTCGCCATTAGGAGAGTAGCCTCATCATCATCATTGGCCTGCGCTAGATGAGCCTCAGCCTTCTTCTCCTGCTTGTGATTTGGGCACTCTTTTGCCCAATGGCCCATCTTCCCACAGCACCGGCTGATGGTGGGGTCGACCTTCTTCTTCTTCTTCGAAGAAGCCTTGCCGCGACACTTGCCATCGCTACCACGGCTAGAGGAGTCTTCCCCGGAGTTCCTCCGGGCAACCCACTCCTTCTCTGTCAACAGTAGCTTGCCGTTGTCCTTCGTCGTTGTGGCCTGCTCCATGCGCTCGTCCACCGCCCGCAGACGGCCAGTCACATCCTCAATGGTGAGGGTGGACAGGTCCAGCATCGTCTCTATGGAGAGAGCGATCTGGATGTACTTCGCCGGCACGGAGTAGAGGTACTTGGAGACCGCCTCTTCTTCGTCGATAGTGACGCCGTAGCTCCTCAGCTTGCTGATGAGCGTCTGCAGGCGGAGGGAGAAGTCCTCCACCGATTCACCATCCTTGAACTTGAGGTTGGCGTACTTCTGCTTTAGCAGCTGGGCCGTCGCCTTCTTTGTGCGGTCGGAACCGACGCGCATCGCCGCAATGGTCTCCCACGCTTCCTTAGTAGAGCTTTTTGCCTCGAACGGCTTCCTGTACCCCGATGGTATAGCAGCGAGGATAGCCTTCGACGCTGACATGTCGTCTTCTTCGTTTTCGGTGCACTTGTCAACAGCATTCCAGAGCCGTCGGGTTCTGAGCTTGACCTTTATGGTTACCGACCACTCGCCATAGTTAGTGCGAGTCAGCGTCAGCCAACTGGTGCCGCTAACCTCCCGCACCGTGCGCACAACGACCTACTGTCGTGGCTGTGTAGCCACAGCAGCACCGCTGTCGCCCATCTCCAAACCGTCCGTCATCGCCAGCGGTTAGTTCGGCGACGACGCTTATACGGCTCTAATACCACTTGTTAGCCCCTGGATCTCCGGCACGGGTGAGTCGACTACTCACCACCATTGCCGACCACGCACTGTCGTTGGCGACCACATACTATGGCTAGACGTAGAAGAAGAGAGGGAGAACATAGCACACACAGCACAAGCACCAGCGTTGGCCGGAGCTCTTGTAAAGGAGATGGCAAAACTGAACTCGTTTTCTTTACTGAGTTGCAGTGGCAAACTATATATACAACTCTACACATCTAATCCTAGTACACAAACATATCAGGTTGTTATGTTCCTTCAGTGACTAGATGTGACAGCAGGGCTGACTTTGGCGCTGACCCTTGCTTGTGGCTATCGTGCGATAAGTGAGCTATTCGACACCTACCCCTGCAGCTACTATAATGCAACAGCAAGGAGCCCTTTTCAACGCCGCCTGTCCCTGTCGTGCATTTGAGGGAGCATCATATTACTTAACACTGTTTGGGTGAAGGAGCTGAAAAGCTCTCCCCTAGAGCCGTAACAAACGGCCCCTCACATGTAGTGCTAGTACTGTTGCAGTGTACAAGCGCACCGTGCAGGTGGTGCAGTGCTCTAATTTAAACCCCTCTGAACAATCTACAGAATCGTAATCTATTGGAAGGACATGGAATGGGATTAGAACGCTAACAACACAAGGTACAGGGGATTTCTCGAGGCCAGTGCATGCATCAGCTCAGCTCAGCTGGAAGAGAGAGGTAGCGAGCGAGAGGGGAGCAAAGAAGGCCAGAGGAAAAGACAGAAAGCCCCGCTCCCCGTGTGTGCTACAGTGCTAGCTAGCCGCTGTTTGCTTCCGGACTGAGGGCAGTGACGAGCGAGTGTACCCAACGCCGGCGGACCGGTGTGATTGCGGGTATGGATCGGGTGGACGATTGCACAATAGCTTTTTGCCTTGTGCTTCCCCCCTCATCCTCTCCTTCCCTCCCCTCTCTCTCTCTCTCTCTCTCTCTCTCGCCTTCCTTTCTCCTCCCTCTCCCCCACCTGGCCTGGACTCTCTCTAAAAGCCTCCAGCTAGCTATCAACCCTAGCACGCACCGCGCAGCAGAGGTTCCATCGTCTTCTTCCTCCAGTCTAATCGATCAGCTTAACCAGCTGAGGCAGCGGGCGAGCTCCGGTCCACTTCCCCCCATCCATGGACGGCGCCAATTAATTCCACGGCACCGTGGTGGTACTAGCACGACGTACCAGCAAGTCGTCCCCTCGAGATTCAAGGAGAGGAGAGGAGAGAGAGAGAGGATAGCTTAGCTTAGCTTAGCTGCTGCCTAGGTGTCCTTCCGTCCCCAGTCCGGCAGTCCCGAGCTGAGTCCCCACTGCTGCAGCTGCTGCTGGAGCAGGACAGGCACTAGCTGATCTGGGTGCAACTGCAAGTACCACCACCACGCACCACTGCACATGATCGGGTCGCCCAAAGCCGCCCGCCCGTGAGATCTTGTCCTGCTGCTGCCTGTTCCGCTTCAATTCTGACACCCCAAGCAGGGTAGCCCTCCTGCACGCGGGCGCGCCAGCTGATCTGATCCACCACCACTCATCGTCATCCGCAGAAGCAAGCAGCTAGCTTAGCTGGTACTGGTATAGGTGAGCATCATCATCAGGAAGGAGCAAGCAGCAAGCAGCTGGAGATATATCTTATCGATCGATCAGGGAGATGATGCTCAAGGATCTGGCAGCAATTCAGCAGCACCAGCACCAGCACCAGCAGCTGGCCGCCGCCGCCGACGAGAACATGTCTAACCTGACCTCCGCCAGCGGTGACCAGGCCAGCGTCTCGTCCCACCCCGCCCCGCCTCCCGCCAAGAAGAAGCGCAGCCTCCCCGGGAATCCAGGTCAGCCATACCCCGATCTATCTATCGATTCAGTAATTCATGCACCTACCATGGTTTCCGTCTCGATCGATGCATGTGATGGATCGACGACTGTGCTCACCTGAATTTGCTGTCTATCTATCCATCGGATTCGGCCGCAGACCCGGACGCGGAGGTCATCGCGCTGTCACCGCGGACGCTGATGGCGACGAACCGCTACGTGTGCGAGGTGTGCGGCAAGGGGTTCCAGCGTGACCAGAACCTGCAGCTCCACCGGCGCGGCCACAACCTCCCCTGGAAGCTCAAGCAGCGCAACCCCAAGGAGGTGGTGCGCAAGAAGGTGTACGTGTGCCCGGAGCCCGGCTGCGTGCACCACGACCCGGCGCGCGCCCTCGGCGACCTCACCGGCGTCAAGAAGCACTTCAGCCGCAAGCACGGCGAGAAGAAGTGGAAGTGCGACCGCTGCGCCAAGCGCTACGCCGTGCACTCCGACTGGAAGGCGCACTCCAAGGTGTGCGGCACGCGCGAGTACCGATGCGACTGCGGCACTCTTTTCTCAAGGTTCCCTTCCCTTCCCTTGCCTTCAGCCTTCCCGCGTCGCCCATGGCCATGGTCCTCCCTATCTATCTGCCTTTACGGTGCTTGCAATTAATGAAATGATCCATGTGCATGGTCGCGTCGCGTGCAGGAGGGACAGCTTCATCACGCACAGGGCCTTCTGCGACGCGCTCGCGGAGGAGAGCGCGAGGGCGGTGACCGCGGCCGCGGAGGTCGTCGCGGGCCAGCACCACCCGGGGATGCTCTTCTCGCAGGCCGCCGGTGGCGGCGGCGACGGCAGCGCGGGGTTGCACCTGCCGCCGGGCGTGCTGTACCCGTCGCAGACGCTGGGCGGCGGGCACGGCATGTCCTTGCAAGAGCTGTGCCACAAGAGGGAGCAGCAACAGCAGCAGCAGTTCGCCCCGTCGTCGTGGCTCACGGCGCACCATCAGCAGGAGCTAGAGCTTCCCGGCGCAGGCAACTCGGCCCTGTTCGGATCGGCGCGGCCGCTAGACCAGCAGGACTACTTGGGGAGCTCCACGCCGGCGGAGAGCACGGCAGGCCTCAGCGGCTTCGTTGGGTTCTCGCCGTCCGCCGCTGGTGGAGGGGCGGCCTCGGCGCACATGTCGGCGACCGCGCTGCTGCAGAAGGCTGCACAGATGGGTGCAACGCTGAGCCGGCCGTCGAACCAGGGACAGATGGCGAGCACTCACAGCAGCACCACCACCACCAATGCTGGCACTGGCGCTGCCAACGCGGCAGCTGCTGCTGCTGCAAGCAACATGCCTGGCACTGACGCTGGTGCCCTCGGCTTCGGGGCACCTCATCACTTTGGAGCGGAGGAGAGGACCACCAGGGCTGATCATCGCGACGCCGGCAACGGCGGCAATGCCGCCGCCGGAGGCGGCAACGAAGGCCTCACCAGGGACTTCTTGGGGCTGAGAGCCTTCTCCCACGGTGACATACTCAGCATGGCCGACTTCGACCCCTGCATGTCGTCGGCCTCGTCGGCGGCGTACGAGCAAGGGCACCACCACCAGAGCAGCAATCAGTGGCATGTCTAGACATCATCGTCAGTACAATACAATCCCATATATAGCTAGCACGCCGCCATGGATGAGCTATATCCTGAATGAGCTGCAGCACGTACACGCATGCATGGACTTTGCTCGATCAAATTGGGTGAGTCGGATCATCGATCGAATCCAGTTCACTTTTTTGCTTGGCACACTTATTTTGATACAATGTTCATTTGGGGGGTATGGGCATTTCAATTCTTATATATAAACTTCATTCAAGGTGGAATATGTATATGGAGTACTTGCAAATGTTTTTGCTATTATATCATATATAGTCAACAATTCATGTTCTTAGCCAGAATATATATCTATTTGTAGTCATCAGTATGTAGCTACTACTTAGGCCCCGTTCGCGTGCTCTTAAATCTGGTTTTGATCCGTTTCTTTTTTTATCTGAAACAGTATTTTTCTCTCATAAATTCCTCCAGCATTCCTCCAAACCATCCAAATTCCTCCAAAATTCATCAAGCAAACAGGCCCTTAATCTGTAAGCCTTGTAATTTGTACGAGAAGCTCTACTACGCAAATTCACTCTTTACTGGATAACTCTCTCATGATATGCTGCTATGTGTACCTGATAAAAAAGACGTTCAAGTCCCCTCCATTTTTGAAGTGTTATTTGAAATGATTTGAAGTTACGCATGAAATTGAACCCGTTATAGGCCGTATAAGTTAAATTAATTAATGAAGAAAATGTGATATAGTGACAGCTAGAGTTTTCTTTTTAAGAAATTAGCAGTTAAGAAATCTGAAGTTTGCTTATTCATGGATTTTTATGGTATATGTACTATTGTAAGAAAAATAAACCGTCGCAGGAGTATCCTAACTACTCATAAACATGTATCAGTGTGAATTTGCATATCAATATTTCTGATCGCATTTTCTTGTATGAATGTACTCCATCTATTTCTTTTACTTTTTAATAAACATATTGGTAATCTTGGATATAATTTTGTTCGCTATTTATAACTATTGTCACATTGGATATGGACCGTCAGAGATATGTAGTTTGTGCATGATATGTACTGTATGTGGTCACCAGTGTGAGTTGAGTGTAATATTGCTTTCTTTTCTGTAAATAGATGGAATGACAACTTAACCTTTGATTACACAATTAAGCTTATATTAAGACGCCTTGATGCAGCAGGCACATTACTTTTTTTTATATATACACAGTCACACAGACAGTAGTATATTCCTTCTGCAGAATGCCAGAAAACCATATTCTTTTGAAAAACAGAAAAACCAATTCTCCACAGTTTTAATTTTGTGCTCCATTGCTGCATTAGTGGTAGCTGAGACATTGAACACCTTGACAGCATATAAAGTTGCTGCCCCATTGTTAATTAATTAGCAAGAATAAATATGCTACAGACACATCTCTGCTCCATTGATCTCCATGAGAGTATGTCTATGTCCTCACGGCACAGAAAAAAGCTAGCACCCCGTTGAATAGTATAAAATATATTATCGTTGGTGAAATGGAATGGGCATTGTATTAGTTAACTGTAGTGTATGTACTAGCTATATAGCTTACACTTTTTCCCTTAAGCAAGCAAGCCAAGATCCACCCATCCAATAATCTTACTTAATTAGCAACAAATTTAATCCCAGGCCCATGCTTCTAAATTTTGTGGAACGGACCTGTTCGGCTGGCATTAAAACGGACTGATAAGCCGGCTACAGCTGTTTTGTTGTGAGAGAAAAGATAAGCCAGCTGATAAGTTCCACAAAATTTAGAAGCCGGCTTATCAGCTATAATCTATATTATTTTTTCTCACAACAAAACAGCTGCAGCCGGCTTATCGGTCGACTTTAATGCCAGCCAAACAGACGCCTCCACACATGCTTGCATTTCCTCCCTTGTCTTGTCTTGTTTTGGGGAATCTCCATGATTTCATGGCAGCTTTTGCCCGGCCAGGAGAACTCCATGTTTCTTCCGAGTTTCAAATTGCCACATCATGTTGGTGTCATTCAAATCTTGCTGTTGCTCGGCACAAGCCTTCGTCTGTTTGTATACATGTCCTCTGGCTTTTGTTGTATGTTCTCTGTCATAAAATACTAAACACGCACTCTACCATGAAGCAAGTAGTGAAGTGATAGTGTAAGGAAATAAAATGTACGATTTCTAAGGGGAAAGAGAGAGACGGGGTGTGTGTGTGTTAGAGTGCTAGAGATATACTCCCTCTATCCCTAAATATTTGTCGCTACGATTTACGTGTCGATAACTTTGATTTATAAAAAATGCGTGCAACATTTCTATCTCTAAATAAATTTATTAAAAACTATATTCAAATATCTATCCAATGATACTAATTATGTATTATACATATTAATATTTTTAAATATATATTTAGTCAAAAAATTTTCTCATAAAATGAAAACGATATATATTTATGATTGGAGGAAGTAATAGGAGGATAATAAAGAAAGTTTTTACTCTGTACTACTCCTTGACCTGTCGTGGCAGGTATAGTACCCTACTGGAAGTAGTACTCTACTACAATATGTATGGGTGGGCGGTTGGGCGGCACCGCGGCAGAGTGGCCGGCGGTGAAGGGCGGCACAGTTGACATGTGAGCCTCTGAATGAATGATGGATTGGTGGTGGCTGTAGCTGCTGGCTGCTGCTAGGGCCGCGTTTAGTTCGGCCGATTCGGCGCCGGCCGAATCACTGAGGTACACTGTAGCTATAGTGTTGTTTTGTTTTTATTTGGTAATAATTGTCTAATCGTTGATTAATTAGGCTTAAAACGTTCATATCGCAAAGTACAATCAAACTGTGCAATTAGTTTTTGATTTCGTCAACATTTAGTACTTCATACATGTACCGCAAGTTTGATGTGACGGAAAATCTTCTTTTACGTAGTGCCAAATTCTAGAAAATGGGAAAGTAAACATGGCCTAGGTGTTGATCGAGTTGGAGGAAGAGGAGATGATGGGGAGCAAGAGCAAGCATGCAGTGTTGCACCCACTGTGTAATCCTGCGCTGCAGGCTTGTAAGTTTGGAATGGCGCAGCACAGCATAGTCATAGAGATAGATACTCCTACAGAGGTCAGGTCAGCAGAGGTGGTGATGGTGCATAGGCCTGCCCCGCTTTCCTCATCAAATATTCCGTGCATCAAAGTTTGGGCGTGCTTCCAAGTGCTACGCGACAAGCGCGTGTCTTCACGTGTCCCTTTCCTAGTCAGCACTCAGTTTAGTTCCCAGTCTAAAACTTTACACCATATCACATCGAATATTTAACCGTATTAAATATAGACTAAAAAATAACTAATTATATAGTTTTGTGACTAATTTGTGAGACAAATCTTTTAAACCTAATTAGTCCATAATCCGACAATAAAGTGCCACAGTAACACATGTTCTAATGATAGATTAATTAGGCTTAATAAATTCATCTCGTGGTTTACTGACGGATTCTGTAATTTATTTATTTTATTAATATCCAAACACCCTATACGACACCCCATGTAATATCCGATGTGACACCCTAAACTTTAGAGGCTGGATCTAAACAAGGCTTCGGAGGGACTCTCAAAAGAGAGAGAGAGAGAGAGCACCAAGGTGTTTTTTTGGCTGGCTATGCACTACTTCCTCCGTCCAGAAAAAAACACAATTCGTATTTAGATTTAAAGTTAGAATTGTATTTTAACGCATGTTCAGCTTCAAAACTAAAATTGCGTTGAGTGAGTACTACTATGCTTGCTGCACTCTACTGGGAGTATCCCTATCTGTTTGCAAAGAAAGTTTACCGCAAAGATTTTGAAAGGAGATATATATATATCTATAGAGAGAGAGTGTGTGTGTGTGGCATGTGTGGATGCAGCAGAGGAGAGTGCAGCACGGCTGCAGATCGATGCCGGCCGGTATGGGGATGCTGGCAGGGCGTGATTGTGAATTGTGATGGATGAGATCACTACCCTGAGGGAGGCTCACTGATCTGCTCTTGTCAACGGGGCCAGGGGCTGCACGCATCGGCATCGATGACGACGAGCGAGTGCACGGCTGCACCTCCGTGTTCGTCCTCGGCGGAAAACATGCACGACAAGCGCGCGCGTACCGTTACTTTCTGCGTGCATGCATGCATGCACCTGCTGCAGCTACCATATATACAGTACGTACATGTGCTACCTTTTTCACTTTTTGACATACGATATACTTGCAGTCCTTGTCTTCCGCTGTCCGATCGATATAGAGAGAGATGAGAGAGAGAGGGGTGAGCACGCACTTGCGTTGCACTTCCTGGTCCCGGCGGGCCGGCCCATCCTAGCACACAAAACTACTGTATGCATGCCTTCAGCAGCATGTTCGTTTGTTGGTTTCAGCCAGGACTTATCAGCCAGTCTATAATATTTTTCTCTCACAACAAATCAGCACCAGCCGGACTTATTAGTCCAGAAACCAACCAATAAACAAGCCTTCATCTGGATCAATTAGTCCATGCATGTACACTGTGTTATTGCCTGATCATCAGTCCATCCATCGCATTGGCGTTCGCGCGGCACAGCGGGGGCGTGTTCGGCTGGCTTTAAGCCGGCCGGCTGGCTGGCCAGCCAACTCACGGAGTCACTATTCACGTCTTGTCAGAATAGTATTTTTCTCTCACAACAATTAGCCAGAATAGTATTTTTCAGTCCTGACGAAACAGGCCCCGGATCGATCAAAGTATTGAAAGAGATGGACGGATCGATCGATCGATCATGAAGAGAGAGAGAGAGAGACGACACTGCTCACTGCATGTCTGCAGCATCTGCATCTGCAAGGCAAGAAAGGTTTGGGCGAAAGCCTAATCCTCAGCTCCTTTCCGCTCGCACGCTTTCTTCTTTGCGTGGACGCGGTACGGGGTGCAAACAAAAAGCTTTGCTCTGGTGGTATGGTGGCGTCCATCACGAGGGATGCAACTCTCCTTGCTCCGTGGGGCTCCTATCCACTACTTGTAGCTCCTGCACCCTTTTCCTAGTTGATCCATCCATCAAGCTCTC